GATACAAATCAGAGCTTATTAAGTATGTGCAGATCGGCTGATATATAAATTCTTTTCTAGCCTTGAACCAGTGAAGCATTTGGCCTGCTAGGTAATGGCCTGGAAGGATGACTCAGAAAAGAGTCCATAATTTAAACAGTTTAGCGTGTCTCAACTCTGAAACCTCCTCACTTGCTAAGATAAAATTTCTTTGCATACTACATTATAACCCCAAACTCTAATTAGCAGTGGGAAATGAAATTACACCAGCAAAGGCGGCAATCTGGCTGAGGTGTAAACAACCCTTACGCACATAATCAATTAGGGCTCCTGGAGGCAGCGAGTTCAAAGGCATAAATGTTCTGTTTTGTTTCTTTATTTTCACCCTGCCATTCATGAAAGCAGATGCATCTATAAAAACATTTCTTGTAGTTATAATATATATTTGCAGATACTACTACATGCGATTTGGTTCCAAGAAGTAATAAACATTTCAGTCTGAAAAGATAGTCCAACAAATCCATTAAAATCCGAAAATTATCCATCTAAATTTCTTAATTAGCATATTACCCAGGAAAATTTTATGTCAATGTAAAATACCTATTTTTAATTTTAATTAAGTAGGTTGCACTTTCATAGGCTAAATGTAGCAGATAAAATTCTTCTGCCATGAAGTAAGTCTTCACTGTATTGGACTCAAGGTAATATGTGCTAAGAGCCTTTCCTGTCTAACGTTATTTTCTCTACTATTTTTCATCATTTCTGATTCCCCAAACACATAATTACTCTTCAGACCACTTCAAGTTTTCTTAATATTTTTGTTTCATTTTTTTTTTACAGTTGGTTGACTTCTTGTACTACATATTTCATCTACGCTCAGAACTGAAGCACTCTCTCCCATAGCTAGGTCTTTATTCCTTAGAATTCTATAAAGCAAAAGAATATTGGTAATATAAACAGCAAACACAAAGTATTATATTCCCTGGAATATAATAATAATAATTCCATAAAATCTATATAATAATTTCCCCCCAAAAATGTGATGTAAATATTTAGTGTCAAATGGGTATATTTGTTAAGATGTCTTGCATATTTTATTTCCTAGTTAATGTAGTTACAATCATACTTGAAAATGTAAGAGTTGTTAAAACAAAATTAATTTTGGAAAGATCTATTGTTTAATAAATTATATTGTGGCTAGAATGCCCAGGAAACTGATTTGTTAAGAAATATATTATATAAATTTTCCAACTTACATATTTTGTTTTTCAACTCTGCATTTTAAACATGTAATAGTAAATGCTGGTGATCTTTTGAGTTGTCTTCCAAAAATGATATTAATGCTGAGCTACAACTAAGTGCTATAATTAAAATGGATATGTATCTATATTAGTTAATTAACCTTAACATTTTCTGGAAGAGTCAAACTAGGTTAGACCTTGGAAGACCAAATAACATTTTGTAATAATTATTACCACTGAACTAGCATCATTAAAGAACAACCATTAATAGCACATCAACTTTGTGGATATCACCTACTAAGCCACAAATCAAATCAGCATATTCTTCATTTACTTTTTATTAGCTGTTAACAGAATTATCTGCTGAAAGTCAAGATTGGCTGGCATGAGTTGAATATCTGTCATTGACTGAGTTTATACAAATGTACGTGTAATTATATCTATTTAATGGGCTTATCCATTATACTTATAAAATGTTTTGCCAAGAAAACATTTTGTTAGAGACCATAAGCACCACTTATCACTTATCAGTACTTTCTCAAATATAGATTTTGATCATAAAATGGTCAGTTGAAATAATTCAACTAATTTATATAAAATAATATAAATGAACAGTCACAGACATACTTATAAATTTAAATGACTCCTGTACTAAAAATAAGATCAAAGATTAGGAATCTATTTTGTTCTTAAAAACCAAAGGTTCAATAAAGGTGACTGCCTCTTCATCTCCACCCCTGATCAGACTGGATTCTGTTTCTACCTTGGTTAATGGCTTCTTAAAATTGGATAGCCTTTACATCCAGACATGTCGAGGAATCTCTTTATGGTGCTCTAACAAGAATCATAAATTCTGGATTTGCACAGATCATTAAACAAACAAACAAACAAACAAAAAAGATTTTTTTGAAGTATTTAATGAAGCTCAGTGGTGTCAACGGTCCCATCTATGTATTGCAGGTTTTTAAGAAAGTAATCTTGAGATTAACTGTGTAATTCGAGGAGATAAAAATTCATTCTTAAAGATAAATTGAGTTGACTCTACAAAGTTCAATTTCACTGCATGAGGACAAAACTCTCTCATTTGGATCTGATTGTGTGGAAATGACACTAGAAGCAAGTACCAGAAAAAAAAAATCCATAAAAAATATAGAATAAGGAACCTGTGATAATATTAGGTTTTTCTAGAAACATGGTTGAATCCTTGGTGCCTACCTTAAGGCTAAGTCCCAGTCACCCAAACAAATTTATTTATGCAAGAGACCTATTAAAACATCTACCAAGTTTTTCATCAGTAGTAAAACTCTATAATGTCAAGATAAAAATTCTTTAAAATTAAAATTCTAGTTAAAGAAAAATATATAGGGCTGTAATTGTATTCCACTTGTAAATACAATGTTTCACCACTTCTAAAATTCCACATTTCAACTTAGTGAATAAAATTCAGTGAGAGATTTTACAAATAGGACCTGGCGATTGGTCTAAAATAATCCTAAGAACATGTATACAGAGATGCCATACTAATAATTCCACCAATTCTTACCATCTTTCATAAGATATATAGATTTCTAAAGCTTGAGTTTGGNCTTTAAAAATAGGACCTGGCGATTGGTCTATAATAATCCTAAGAACATGTATACAGAGATGCCATACTAATAATTCCACCAATTCTTACCATCTTTCATAAGATATATAGATTTCTAAAGCTTGAGTTTGGCAATACTCCTTCCTTCTCAAGAATTAAATCAACTTAGTGGCATAGGCCGAGTGTTTTACATGGAGCTGGCAGAAGAAATTTTTCCATCAAACCACTCAGTCTTTTCTCCCCCCTTCTGCTTCTACACTGTGCCCAAAAGAAGGTTATTTATTTATTTATGGTTCGGTAAAAGTTCTGGACAGCAGAATAGATAGGAGAAGCCTCTCAAATAAGCAAGTACGAGCCATTACAAGAAACCAAGACAAAATTTTCATGAGAAACCACCCTAAGTCAAATGAGTAAACAAAACAAAACACCTAGTTGGTGATATTTAGGGGCCACCCTAGTGAGTTCATTTGATAGCATGCAGTGCTCCTTTAGTGATATGCAACACACTTTTATATGGCTTCCACATGCTAGCTAATACAAGAGGCTAAATAACTGAAATGATTAGAAAACATAACGAGAAATTATATTCCTTGCAAAGGAATACAGTTTATACGCTAACGTGGGCAGGATCGCATACGACGCAAGGCCTTTGGGAAAATCCTTCCTGGGTGTACGCAGGATATTCATTTGCTACTATATCACCTTTTTACAAAACACGTGCCCTAAGAAAACACATTTCAATAAGTGAAACATTAACATTTATAAGCACCAACATAAAATAGAGATAGTCATCAAAAGCTATCCCCCACACACACATCCAAAGATGGATATTATACTCTGTTGTGCTTGATTTCATTGTGATATCACACCCATAGTTATTCATCTCTGTAAAACAATGTCAGGCTTTGGAAGGCTCAGAAAAATGTGTTCCCTCTGCCCACCCCACCCCCACTCCGTGCTTGTTTTCCCTATACTTCTAGCAGGAGAAATTTCATCTTGGAGAGACTATATTTGTCATTTGACATCTATATGCCATTTACACAAGAGTTAACCATTTATAGAACAAACTATATTTTATATTTTTTCCTGAAATTCCTACGTTGGCAATGCTTCGACGACAGAATCATTTAATTATTGACCTTTGCTGCACTGCAGATATTGTAAATAGTTTCCCTTCTTCCTTCTGTCCAGTTTGGACAGNAACCGACAGAATCATTTAATTATTGACCTTTGCTGCATTGCAGATATTGTAAATAGTTTCCCTTCTTCCTTCTGTCCAGTTTGGACAGTGCTCATTGAGTCAAATTTTCTGGTTTGTTTTCGGTGAGTGCAATGCCCCCTCCTAGGCAAGAAAGGAGGAATAGCTCTCTAAATAGCAACTGTCAACGGAAAAACCAGTGCACAGCCAGGCGCTACATGTTACAATGTTGGCAAATGTCACCGTAAAGTGGCATTAGGAGCAATAAATTGTTCCCCGCTTCTATTCTCTGACCTGTGCCCTGGCAGAATGCTTGGACAGAATCTCATTTCTCTCCCCATCAGTGCATTAGTCGGGGAAAGGGTTTCTTTCATCATGTAAAGTAAAATGAGACTGGAACTAAGTAGGTGCTACATGACTTTTTCCACGCTGGCATAAAACTGAAAAAGCAGGATCGGTCATTAAGTCATAACTAAGCATTAACATTTACGCAAAACATTATCTTACACTGCCACAAAACCACAGTGTCGGATAAAAGCCGCAGAAACTGTTTCAGCCGGCCCTGGGAGCCAGGAAATCCTTTTCAGGAGTGTGTCTTCTCTGGGCTTTCCCAATTAGTACTCAGTAATGGAATCGGCGACCTGCTGTGATGACTTAAACATTCCCTTACTGTGTGTATATTATGTGATCCAAAATAGAACGCAAATTTTTCAACCCATCACAAGTGGTTTGATAAACAGTGTCAGCAGACTTATTTTATCATGATCTATAATGTACTTAAAATATATAAAAGTGCAAAAGTAAAACTAAAACTAAGATGCTGTGTATAGAGCACGTGGATGATGCACAGCGAGGGCTGAGATTTGAAAGCGGTCAGGTAGAGGGACTATCCCATCCCTTCCACGCCATCTAGTTTCTAAGAACATGCACACACTCCCACATCCATGAACGCACTCAGCACACGTGTACACACGTATATATTAAAAGAAGAACTTACACAATCTCATCGTTCTGGAACTCGAGCTCCCCGCAGGTGTCCTCGAAGTCCTCCCCTCCACCTCTGGCAGTGCCCTCGAGGGTCTTATAGGGGACGATGACGTTTCCTCGAGCTCCAGACGTTCTCAACACTTTCACCTCCATGACGCCGATGCTCTCGCTCACGTGAGTCACGGGCTCCTCGAACGTGAAGATGCCCGCGTGGTCGTCGTCGAAGATGGTCACGGTGGCCGTGCAGGGCGAGCCGAGGCACGCGAGCGCGGCCACGTGGTTGGCCTCCAGGATGCCGTCCTCCGAGGCCTCGGGCGACACCTTGACGTTGCTGAGGTGCACGAGGAAGTTCTCGTCCTCCTCGAAGATGTCGTCGTCGATGATGCCCACGCGGATCTCCTTCTGGGTCTCGCCGGGCTTGAAGACCACGGTCCCCTCGGTGAATTCATAATCGGAGCCCGCGTTGGCCGTGCCGTCCTCGGTTCTGAAGTCGACGCACACGGTGTTGGTGAGGTCGCCACCTCTGCGGACAATGGTCAGGGCCACGGTGCCGCAGTTCTCCAGGCACTGGTAGGTCCCTTGTTCGAAGAAGATCTTGCTGACCGGGTCGTTCTCGGCCATGTCTGGGTTCACCTCGTGCATGCTGACGGCCTTGCGCGCCTGGTCGGCCGCGTGTCGCTTCAGAATGTTGCCCGCTCCGGTCATCAGGCGGGTGGCCTGAATGCGGTAGAAGGCCCGGCTTTTCTGCTGCTGACTGAGGACCTGGTAGTTCGCTAATTCTATCAACTGCTCTATTTCTTTATCTGGGTGCTTCTGCTTGAGCTCCTTCAGGATCCTGGCCATTTCCCGCCTGGCCTCTTCGTCGTCCTGGTCCCTCTCATCGACCTCCAGAACCAGGGCGCCGTCTAAGAAGTTGTCAACGTGGGAATTGACCACTTTCCCATCCATCTCGATCTCAGTCTTGGAAGACGGCCTGTCCCCCTCGTGTTCAATAATCATCCCCCTCTGCTTGCCAGCCCGATACCTCTTGTAGACATACTTGTAAAACAGAAGCCTCCTGTCGGCCACCCAGGCAAACACGACGCAGATGGGGAAGAAGAAGAAAGTGAGCAGACCTTCCCAGACCTCCACGACCCCGGGGGAGATGACGGACAGGATAAGGTAAAGCCAGGTGTAGGCAAAGATGCTCCAGGCCGCCGTCACGAAGAACACGCGCAGATGCTTGATCTTCCTGGTCTCTCCATCGGGCACCACGTAGACACAAAGGGCGATGATGATGAACATGTTGAAGGCGGCGCTTCCCACGATGGTGCTGGGGCCCAGGTCCCCCGCAGTGAAGTTATGGCCACACACTTCGATCACCGAAAGGAGAATCTCGGGGGCAGAAGAGCCCAGGGCCATTAAGGTCAGGTTGGAAACCGTCTCGTTCCAGATCCTCACGGTTGTCTTGGTGGTCTCTCCATTGGGCTTCTTTATGGTTATTTCTTTCTCTTGAGATGTGATGACTTCTATGGAGGACATGAACCGGTCGGCAATGATAGAGACTCCGAGAAACATGTAGACCATGGCCACAAAATACACAGTAGCTCTAGCAATTTTGTCCCCAAAGGAAGGGTCTTGGGGCTCCCAAATGGGTAAAATCACCCCTTTCTTACAGTAATATGAGCCGGTACACTCACCAGTTTCATTGCCTTCTCCTTCCATCTCTGCCTCAGCACTTATGTGGTCCACATGGGAAAATAAGACAGCCATGATGGCCAACAGATGAAATCCCAGGGAAAAGGTGGGTGAGAGACTTACTCGCAACATGATGTACGGTGGCTGGCTTCCAACTGTCCCAACCTACTGCTAAAAATAAGATGGGGGTTGGGTGGGAAAAAGAAATTGTATCATTAGAGCCAGAGCCAAAGCACGACTAATTATTTATTTTTATTAATTTTACCAATGATTTGCTTACACTTCACTATCACCATCGATGCTGAATCATTGTTCTAAGAATCCACGTGTGATTAAGTGAAGTTTATAGCTCAGTCTCTCTGCTTGTGGATTGTCTACATGCAGTCCCCATTCACCGAGCAATGCACACAGCTGACTTACTGGAAATGAACAGTTCAGTGATAGCCTTGCCTGGCTGCATGCACATTGATGTATGCTAAGAGCCAATTAGAAGGAAAAAAACCAAACTCTTGAAGCGGTAAATAACTTTCTCCTTGTTGCTGAAGCAGATTTCCTTTTAAATTTTGGTTAATACAGTTACCTTCCAGAAACTGTTTCATTGACCAAATCACCCTATTATAAGATTGATGCTTTAGTGGTGGTCCTAAGGTTTCATGGATGAGGCAATTAAGGTCAGAAATGTTACCTCCTAAGCCATCTCCCCCCCTTCCACAGATAGTATTTGATGTTTTCCCAATCCTATGTAAAATGTGGGTAGAAGCTGCTTTGGAAGATTTTGCTAATTTTTATCAACCTAAATAAATCTAAGAAAAAGAAAATAAAATGGTTTGAAGTTCAGAATTTAAAAATCCTACCAATACAGGGTCTGGTGATCATCTTAAACTCTGGAGCACACTTTACACTAAATGTCATGAAATCATGTCTTACTGCTCCTAACTTACTTGGAAACACAGAGAAATCTTCACATTTGCCTGCAATCAAACCTCAGTGGTATTTGTATTTGAGGAAAAAAGTCTGCTGTAATGCAATATTTCCACACACTTAGTACAGTTTTTAAGAGCATGTTTGATGAGAGCACATTTCCTCCTAATTTTCAGCAAGCCCAGGTCTCCTGACGCATTAGCAGCTGGGCAGCTGGTCCTTCAAGCACAGCTCTTCATATCTGTGTACAGACCTTGCTAGAGAATCTGCAGGCTGTCCACAACAGGAAAGGGAGACAACCAGGCCCATATCTGGTTGTGTGTGCAAGGCTCTTTCCTGGCAGGCTGTGAAATCAGCGTTACCAGCCATAAAGTGTTCCTTCTTAGTGTTGATGTCATACTTTCCATGATCCTTCTAAAACACATCTTAGTTCTATAGAGGGTTCAAGTGACCAAAAAGTGCAGGAGTGATAATTCCATCTCAGTTAGCTCATGTGGCAGAATGACAGTGACCACAAAGTGACATATGATGAAGGGCTGTAGGCAATTAGGGTTATGGCAACAGAGTCACTGAGCAGCTCAAAGCTTGGAAAGCAAAGCAAAGTGGTGGACTGAGCCATCGTGGCTCTGAATTCACCCACCAGCTTAGGCAAAACTCAACTTGGAGCTTACATCACCTCTGCCTCCAGGGCTTGGTGGAATAGAGGAAGGTTTGCTCCAAGTCAGGGTAACTTTGGTCTAGAAGGTTAATTATGACAGCAAAGTGGTGACAGGAAGGGGTCCTGAGCCAGAACACTGCCTTGTGGCCCAATAAAAAGTTCAAAATGGAGCTGGATTGGTCTCTCATAGCCTCAGGCTGTCTGAGTCTCTCCCACATTCACCTGTATTCACAGGCCCATGTTAGCTGCTGATGGCACATACTGGAAACTGCACCAGGGCCCAGCACACTGGCAGACCTTCAGAGAACCCACCCTCACCTAAGGCCCTTCATCACTGTTGGGAGATATGCTCTGACATTTTCCTCATGCTAAAGAAGACACAGAGAGAGTTGTGGTGGTAGGATTCCATTCTAAGGAATAGGCAGAAAAACAGAAGCGTATGTTCAGAATATGCAAAAGTCCACGGTCACTACGGCTGCTTGTTTAGACAGTATAAGGCTTTGGGTGGGTTGCAGGATATCTTAAAATGGATGACGTCGAACCAGCTGCAAGAGTAGTGGAAGGTCTAGTTCTGACTCCCTTACACAGCCATTTCATTCCACAAATATTTATTTGTGCCACCTAATGTGCTTCAGAATGACCTGCTAGGCTCTCTTCCAGGTCCTGAGAATTAGTCAATGAAGGAAACAAACAAATAAATGGAAATGTCAGATGGGAAAAAGTGCTGTCATGGAGTGGGAACAAGATAAAGGGATAGGAGTGTGTGAGAGTGTGTGTGTGTGTGTGTGTGTGTATACACTCACACGACATGCATGACTTATACTGGATGGTTAAGGAAGGCCTTTCTGACAAGGGCACATTTGAGCAAAGTCCTGAAGGAAGCAAGGGACCATGTCTTAAGGATGGATATTTGCAAGAAGACAATTTCAGATAAGTGCCAAGACCCCGATGAGTGGAATTGTGCTTTGCATGTTGTAGGAACCACAGAGAAATCAGTGTAATGAGAGGGCAATGAGAGAAGGGAGCAGGGCACAGGGGAGAAGGACCATGAGGGGCACTGAGGCCACTATAAGGCACTGACTTTTGAGTGTGAGGGAGATGGGAACCACAGGGAGTCTCTGATCACAAGTATAATATGAGTTGATTTTCCTTTTAAAAAGGATCTCTAGTTCAGTGGAGAAAGACTATAGGCACAAGGGTGGAAACAAAAAAAACAGCTTTTGACTATTATAAAAAAATCTGTTTTATAAACGATCCCAATGCCTGGCAGATATAAAAATGATACAGTAGAGATCTAAAGTTTAAAAAGGTAAAAGACACATTTGTAGTGACCCTTTTGGAAGATTTGTAACTTAAAATGTCTTCGGAGACTGTAAGGATCAGAAAGGGTGAGTAGCTGTTCAGAGACTGGTACAGAACAGAGACAGTAAACACTGAACAGAGATTCAAACTTGCACCTGTCTTTGAGACTGATACGATTAACCACTGCCTTCAAATTGCTGCCAAATCTCACTATCCATTGCATTCTTCACATTTCAGCCAAAATGAACTTCCTAAGGCAAGTTTGACTCTCTTGCTCCCCTTAAAACTCTTCATTGGTTGCCTATTGCCCTGAAGACAAACACAAGCTCCTCAATAGGCTGTTTCAGATCTTTTAGGATGTAGCCTCTGAATTCTAGAATATAGAAAGTCTCATGTCTGAACATGAAAAAAACACACACCTTTCTTACCTCCAGGTCTTTGCATATTGTGTTTTCTGTGCCCTAAACTATTTTCCTTCTTAAAAGCAAGTTTCAAAATAGCACAATAGCAAATGAGAGTTGATTGCCTAAGAGAATAACACTAGGTTCCATTCTTCAACACTACCCCAGACACCATGCTGAAATTCTTTACATGGATCGTTATATCTAATACTTACAATAACCAGCACTGTTGCATTACACAGCTCCTGCTGCTGCCATTTCCATTACAGCACCCCCTGTGGTTGTGCAGTGCCCAGTGACCTAATAATAACCCTCAGCAGTAGATATTATTGGCGCATTTTGGAGGTGAGAGAACGGAAGCTCAGACAGGTTAAGTACTTGTTGAAAGTCATACAGATGTGGTAGGCAGTTAGACAGATATGAGCAGAGCAAGGATGATGGGCCTGGTATAGAAGAAGGTCACCAGAGTGGAAAACCCTGGGTGCCTAGCAAAGGGCTAAACTGGGAAAACCAGGCCCTTGTCCCTAGGGTAACTTTTCCTCCCCTAGCATATCTCTGGTCATGTGGTTTAGACCCTCTGACTTCTCATAGCACTGGTCATGCACTTTGGACCCTCCCCTGACCTTCCCCTGTCTGGCATGTTGCTAGTCATGTGGGTTAGACCCCCTTAGAGGGCAATGAACAAGGGGGCCAGAGAACAGCCCTTAAGCATTAAACCCGGAGGACAATGAGGTTCTGACCCTCAACAAATACATCTAGGACTCAGTTGTGTTTCAGCCTCAGGCCCAGAAAAGCAGCAAAACCAAAGAAGTGATACCACAGCTGCTTCAGGACCAGCTGCATTGACCAATGACCCCCTGTCCTGGTGCTGACCAATCATGGAGACCATGACCCTAAAAGGACATACCTGGAAAGCAGATGAATATTCTATTGAGATACTTCCCTGGGACCACCCCTGAAATTTCCACCCTTAAAAGCCCTAGAACAGAGGACCCAGCATGCTCTCCTTGGAGCCAACATTTCTTGTCCTCTCTCCCTCTTCTTCCCCCCAAGTGCCTTACCTTTACCTTTTTGTTTCCTAAGCTCCAAAGGCCCTTCTTTTGCCTCTGTAACTTGTTTCCTGAATCCATTTCTTCTACAGCTCACTTCTTCTACCTCTAGTTAAACTTTTGCTTATAGTTTGAGGCTTAGCTCTGAATTCTTTCTTATCCAGAAGTCAAGTACTGAAGTTGCTGAATCCAGGTCTGGTCTGACTCCACTGGTCTAACACCTAGTGCTGTTTCGGGCTCCGACACAGAGAGTAAACTCCTGAACTGGGATTCAAACCCTGGGCTGTCTCTGAGGCTGATGTAATCTACTGCTCCATTATATCATCCCTGATAGTGTGTGAAGTAATCTTTGAGAACTAGTAAACTTGGGCTTGGACGAGCCCATTGGAAAACCTCTTGGCTTTCATGTAGGGTAGGAGGGCCTCAGTGGCAAAAGTCCCATGGAAGGTTTCCAACAGCCTGGCTCTCATCTCATGGATTAGAGAGTCAAACAGACAAGCATCAATAGCTGCGATGTAACGTGGGCTGGCAGGTTCCTAGAGACAGCTGCCCTTCACTCTCCAGCCTTTCAGCAATCACCTGGCATCCTCTCCCTGCTCGCACTCTCGGGGCAGTCTCGTAGGTCGGCCAAGGAAAAGCCCTGCCCCAACTCACATCTCACAGTATGTTCTCAGCCAAAAGGGGACCAGATGTGCAAGGGTGGATGAAGCAGTGAAAATCCGTCACCGCCATCAGAGAACAAGGAAGGGGCTTCTGAGGTTAACTCAAAAACATTACAATTATATTAGAAAACGGGTAGTATTATAAATGTTGAAATCAGTGGATACAAATCACTGATAT